TGTACTATCTACAAGGGCAGAGTTGTGTGTCTCGTTTACAGCTCTGGACTGAGTCTCTCCGTAACATTTTTTAATAACATGAATGAGGCTCTTAGGCTACGGCAGTCAGTCCTGGCTTTGTCTCTGAGCAATTACAGTAAGGCCGGCTGAACGCAAGGCCATATGAATCGTATGTGACCCCTGGGCAAGGCCATATGAATCGTATGTGACCCCTGTTCTGTCCTACCAACTTGGGACTTTCCAAGGGCAGGTCCTGGCCCTGATCTTTCATAATTACTGATTTCACTGGGGAAACCAGAACACTCAAGGATCACTTCCTGGAGGGCACAAATTACTACTCAGGGAACCAGGGACTCCAAGAGGCTTTAGAGGAAAATGACTCCCAAAATTTTGTGATATATTGTGTCCCTGTACACAGTTCGAGGGTCGATTCCAGAAAGATTAAAAAGCATGCTCTAGGGTTTCGCAGATGGGCCAGGTGGCAGGAAGTTCTCTCTGAATCTTGCCCTGTATCTTCCTTCTTGGGTGCCTGCTGTGTGCCTCAGTCATCAGCACTCTGTCCTTGATTCCCAGGGAACATCGTTATATTTGAGTTGTGCCTTCCGCATGTTCGTGGTTCTCAGAGCTGCATCAGCACACAAATATACACACACATCCAGACACAGCCAGTATATGGGGAGGGGAGTCCCAGAGTCGTGGTGCAGGCACTGGTTCTGCCCATCCTTGACCCTAGCAGCCTCTACTGCCTCTGTCCCCACCAGCTAGTGTCCACAATGCAGAGCCCTGTGAAGCCATGCCTGGAGCTGGGCACATAAACATGGAGCCTGATCCCCACGTGCATATATATTGCAGGCTGGATGCCAAATGAATGTAGGCCTCCTGCCCACCACATCCCTATAGTAATGTTTATGGGGCCTTTGTTGTTCACCAGACACTGTGCTGGGTTCTTAGAGGCATTTTTTAAAATTTATACCTAAATTGCAACATGTAGTTGGGTAACATTATTTTGATTTTACATGCAAGCAAATAGCACAGAAAGGTGAAGAAATTTGCCCCAAATTGTAAAGCTTTGTAAGTGGCAGAGCCAGGATTTGAAGCTGGCAGTCTGGCTCCAGATCCCATTCTCAAAAGCCTACATTTATACTGACCTATTTATCCTGAGGGTTTCATGGTATAAACTTGTATTGTGGACTCTACAGCCTTTCTCCCTATGCCGGTTAGAGGTGACTTTCTACCCTAACTTCTTTTATCAGGAAAAAAATGGTCACTGAGAAGAGTCTTCTAGGACTTCCAGGGGAAGTCCCTATCCACTAATTAAAGAGGAAGGGGCCATCGGGTCTATCGCATTTAGTGCTGAGGTAGGAATGGTGCGGAAGGGCAGAGTGTTACAGAGCCCTAGGAGACCCCAGCTGAGGGTAAGGGAACCTTAGGAGGAAAAGGGAGAACACAGACTCGGTGGCTAGCTAAGGGTTCATATCCTGGTCCTGCCACTTTAGCAGAGTGACCTTGAGCAAGTGATTTCACACCTCTGATCCTGAGTTTCCTGTCTATAACGTATCTTATAGCGTTGTTTTGACAATGAAAGTGAAATAAATTTTGCAAAATGTGAAGCCCAGTTAGAGTATATAGTAAGCTTTAAGAAGACTGGTTTCCTAAATTTTAGTGTTTTTTAAGTAGTACAGGTACCAGGGTGTTGGGTCTTGGAGTTGCTACCCAAATACCAGGAATTCCTTGAGACTGGAACCCTCCCAGGGAACTTCTGCCTAATACAGGTCTGCACTTACAGCTTTTCAAGCCCCAGTTAGGGCAGTTCTTTAGGTTAATATCAGTTGACAACGTTTGGGAAATCACTTGGCAGCATATGAGAGCAAAGGACCCAGGTGACCCTAGGAGGAGATACCAGACTAGAGAAGAGGGTATTAAGATAGGAGAGTCTTTTACACCTACTATACTGGTAACCCTTAAATACTAGAACATCTGGTGTTAATGACGTTGTGGTAAAAGTGGCACAAGCATATTCTCTTGGTGACATTTGTAGAGGCAGCTTTCAAGATGGCCCCCACTGATATCCGTTTCTGTATTTTTAGCCTGGTGTCATCCTCTCCCTTGCTCCCCTTAGTTCAGAACAATAGAATACAACAACATGAAGGGATGTCTCTTCTGTGATAAGTTACAAAAGATTGTATATATCCAAGAAGATAACATTCTATCTTGCTAGCAGAGTGTTATCTTCTTGGATACATGCTTTGATGAAGCAAGTTGCTATGTTGGAGAGGCCCATGTGGCAAGGAGTGAAGGAAGCCAACAACTGACCAACAGCTGGCAAAGAACTGAGGTCATCAGTCTAATAGCACATGAGGAATTGAATCCTGACCACAACCATGTGAGCATGAAAGAGAATCCTTTCCCAGTCAAGCTTTCAGATGATACCCCAGCCTCAGCAACACCTTTATTGCAGCCTGTGACACATCCTGAAGCAGAGGACACAACTAAGTCATGCCTGAATCCCTGACCCACAGACACAGTGGGACAATAAATGTGGGTTGTATTAAGCCACTTAGTTGTATGGTAATTTTTTATGCAGCAATAGATAACATACACATTACTAATTGATATGTTTTTAGAAAGCAATCTGGTAAAACGATACAATCATAAAACTATTTTTTTGATCTAGTAACTTCAAACTTAGAATTTTATCTTAGCACTATAACCCAACAGAAACTAAATAGTATATCCCCAAAGATGTATATAAAAGCATTAGCTATAATATAAATAAATATGTATATACGAGTAATGGAAATGTTGAACAATAAGAAATTGTGCTACATCCATTTTTTGAATATTGTTCAGT